CGAATTGGGGATTTTAGTCTGTCACCCTAAAATCTCCAATTCTACACCCATCAAAGTATATTTCTCTATTTATTTGCATTCAACTCCCATGAACTTAACCATCCATGGAATCTGAATGTGGTTCTATTTTGTTGAGAATTACACAGCCCTCTCGTGTATTAATGCAACTACAACTAATTTTAATAGTACAACAGGCCTTTATTGTAATGTAAATAAAGTACAAGTAAAAACCATCACATTTATAATTAAAACCACTTCTAACATGCATCACAAAATCCTAAACATGAATTCTACTCATTACAAAAGAAAAGTAAAATGAAAACAACGATATGATCTTCTCGTACCATTATTTCCAAACAAGAATCACAAAGCACGAAGAAAACACAATGGAAACTTCATTTAACCAAAGAAAATTCACCAGATAATTGTTTACAAAAATCAAATGAAGAACACAATACTTAGCTTTTTTCCTTTGAAAGAAAGACGAATATCTCTCCCACAATGTCTCCCGCCGATCCATGCAATGCTAGAACAACTCCTTACAAATTCTCTCAAAATCTCCTCTCCGATCTCTCCAAAAGGGTAGAAATCTATATTTCTACTCCTATTCTAAAAACCCTACACTTTCTTCACACGTTTCCTAACATTCCTCTCACACAAAACCTACTTTTTCTAATCTAAATTCATTCTTTTAAAGCGTAGGGATGAAGATTGAAGAGTTGCCAAAAAGCGTCCAAATATGTTGAATTTGGCCCATAACCGCCAAAAGTCGGTCCATAGTCATCCCGAGCGCCGTTGGCGGGCTCGAGGGCGGGGTGCCGGCGGCGGGCTTGAGGGCGCTGTCGGCGAGCTTTTCTGTCATTTTCGGTCTTCTCGGGTAAATATCGCCGTCAGCACTGTTTTGGGCTCCGTCGGCGAGCAGACTGCGCAGCTCCACCGTTTCGCTCCGTTTTAGCTCTGTTTCACCTCATTTCAGTTGTGTTATGTTCCTAACAGATAGCCCTACAAAATAAGCATGAAAGCAACCTTCCTTTAAAGTGTAATCTCATTCAAAAATATGTAAGAAGTGTAAAAGAGATTAAGCATCGAAAGACTTATCGAAAGTTGACAGGGGAAAATTTCATTTCTTGCTCGTTTTTTCTCCAAATTGCACCGTTTTTATTTTTTTTTCTCCAAAAGTCCATTTCTTGTACCGAAAATCAAAAACATGCAAAATACCTCCCTTTAAAGAGAAATGTCATTAAAATTAAGCATAAAATGTATATGAAAAATCAAGCATTTTTTAGGCGTGTCAGTTGCTGAGGAATTAAATCTTTTAGCAATAATATTAAATACTTGTATTTTTAAGCATATATAGAGTAGCAGCAATATCAACTACGCTGCACAAATGGTGTGGTCATGTCAGATCTAGGTGTGGCTATGCCGACTCGATTTTTCCTAAGTTTCTGTTTTCCTGCGATATTTTTTAATCCTTTAGTAACCTAAAATTACAATTTCAACCTCTTAAAACCGTAAAATCTGGAATTTAAATAAATAAATTGCTAGAATTAAAGTATAAAAGATGCAAAGAACTGACTCATGTTAGTAGTGGATAGATTTCCAAAAATGACACATTGTATTGCTTGCAGGAAGACTTCAGATGTACTTCACATCGCTCGAATATTCTTCCATGAGATTGTGTGCCTTCATGGGCTACCTCACCGCATTACTTCGAATAGAGATGTAAAATTCATTAATCACTTTTGACGTGTATTGTGGTTACAAACCAAACTTCAGTTAAGCTTCGCATAATACTCACAAACAGATGGTCGAACCGAGTGGTAAACCACACTATAGAAAAAATGTTGTGTTACTTAGCTCAAGATCATCCAAAATAGTGGGATGAATTCATTGGTCAAGCCCAACTTACCTATAATTCAATGCAAATTTGATCCACAGATAAGTTCCCTTTTATCATAGTTTATACTAAGCCACTAAACCATACTCTTGATCTCGCAGTTCTACCAAAGTGCAAGAGCATTCCTAGTGAAATGGTCACTAATGCTACAAGACTTTTAAAATATGTATATTCCAAGTTGTTGGAATCAAACGATAAGTATAAATAGAAAGCGGATCTTCATAGAAGGCATAAGGATTTAAAACTAGGTGATCTCGTTATGGTGCGTCTCCATAATGCACGCTTCACACCAGAGATTATTCCAAATTAAGACCCAAAAAACTTGGATCATTTGTTGTGACTACACGAATTAATGATAATGCTTATGTCATAGCCTGCCACCAAACATGAACACATTTTCGACAAACAATGTGTCTAATATCTATACTTACCACCACCCACCTGATGAAGTTTCAATTAAGGTTGTAAACGAGCTGAGCTTGAGTGAGCTCAAACTTGGCTCGCGTTAGGCTCATTCGAAATTACTCGTGTTCGAAATCGGCTCGTGAACAGTGTATTCGTGTTCGGCTCGAAATTGGATCGTTAAAATTAAATTGAAAAAAGTAGTGTAAAATGTTGGATTCGAACCTCGACCAAATGTATGCAAAGAAAGACAATAATCACATTACCACAAGAGGTGTTACGATTTAAACTTTGATATAAATATATATAATATATTATTATATAAATAATATATGTGATATATTACTATATAAATATATATATATATATATTATTTATTTTTTATTTCAAGCTAAAATGAGCCGACACGAACGAACAAAGAGTTGTTCGTGTTAGGCGTGTTTATAATTCGAGCTTTTAAAAACTTATTCGTGTTAGGCTCGTTTATAATTCTTGCTTTAAAAATTTGTTCGTGTTCAGCTCATTTACTTAACGAATGAGCCGAACACGAGCTGTTCGCGAATAACGAGCTTTTTTGACGGCCCTAGTTTCAATCCAATTGACAACTGGCTTGGATCCTTTTGAAACTAGGGAAGACTAATGTGAAAATTCTTAGCTCATAGGAGTTTACAAAACATCTTACCTTTCTTTTACTATTAATACTTTTTTCTTTTATAGTTAAAGTAACTTCCTTATGTTGAATTACAGATTTGTTTAGTCCACAAGGCAAAATAGGCTATAGAATTGGCATAAAGTGTTGTACGGGCAATATTTGCGAGAGAATTTGACATTTGGTTCTATACAGAAACTTTTTGTTTGTTTGTTTTTTTTTTTCTCTCTCTCTACCTTGTAGGTCAACGACAAAATTTAGGGTTTAGGGTTGTGTTGAAGTTATTGTGGGAAAAATGTTTTAATTTGAGAATTTTAATTTTGAAAGTATTGTATAGTTAATGGTTGGGGGTGCGGGCTAGGGGCTACATGGTCGTGGGGATACCTTTATCGGCATAGGTACCTTATTAGAAAGCGGAGCAGGGCACGAGAGCACTGCACAGTACTAGTGCGTGCAGGCTTATGGCAGCACAACACACCACCTCCTAGCGTGAGACTACAGTTGCGGTCGTGATATTACGCAAATTTATGCCACAATTTTAACCTCCAGCCGTCAAATGCGTGAGTCCGACGTGAAAATATGTCCAAACAAAACACCCCCTTAGCCTCGCACGGACACTACAAAGCTAGCCAAATTTAGATGATGTATATGTTCATGAAAGCGTGGTAGGTATTACAAATGGACAAACCAATGTGAAAAAATTTGTAAAACTAGTGTGACTTCTATGATATTTTCATTCCGCCCCATTGACACCAATTACAGATATAAATAGCACCTTCCTGTTGTGCTTCCCACAGGAGGCTATCCGTGTGCTCTGAACAGAACTCCCAGCCAAGAGCCCAAGCTATCAAATTTCTCATCAGCTTCTAGCCATGGAAGCCACCGGATCCCACCGACCTCATCTCGCCGTCCTCCCAACTCCCGGAATGGGTCATCTCTTCCCCCTCGCAGAACTGGCCAAACTCCTCGTCCAACGCTATAACTTCAGTGTAACTTTCATCACCTTCGCCGCCTCTGACAACAAAGCCACTCAAAACTTCCTCAACACCCTGCCCTCCAGCATCACCTCCATCTCCCTCCCCTCCGTTCCCCTCGACGACCTTCCTCCCGACGCCAGAATAGAAACCCGAATGTCCATCGTCTCCATCCGCTCACTCCCCGCCCTCCGCTCCATCTTGGTCGAACTCCAACGTTCCACCAATCTCGTCGCCTTCCTTGCCGACTTCTTCGCCACAGATGGCTTCGAAATAGCCCGCGATCTGGGTATCCTGTACTACATGTTCATCCCCACCAACCTCCAGTTCCTCACACTCATGCTCGAGCTCCCTGCTCTCAACGCCGCCGTCAACTGCCCTTATCAGGATCTCAAAGAACCAATAAAACTTCCAGGCTGCATTCCGATTCCAGGACCAGAGATCCTCACTCCTTTAAGAGATCGTTCAAACGACGCCTACAAATGGATGCTTCACCACGCCGCGCTTTATCGGCAGGCTCAAGGGATTTTAGTCAATAGCTTCTCTGCGATTGAGGCCGAGTCGGCGAAGTTGCTTGCTGAGAAGGAGGAGGGGCGACCGCCGGTTTACCCTGTGGGGCCGATGATAAAGGCTAGTTCGGCTGGCGGGTCTTCCCCATGCTTAAACTGGCTTGACGAGCAGCCGCAGGGGTCGGTTCTTTTCGTGTCCTTTGGAAGCGGCGGGAACTCTAACAAGGAAGCAGCTTGGGGAGCTTGCGATGGGGCTTGAAGCCACCAAGCAAAGATTCCTGCTTGTGGTGCGAAGCCCCTGTGATGAGGACTCTTCGTCCACTTACTTCACCGCGCACACGAAAGAAAACCCTCTGTTTTACTTACCCGAGGGGTTTTTGGAACGCACGCAAGGCGTTGGATTTGTTGTGCCATCATGGGCGCCGCAGATTGAGGTTCTCGCGCACCCTGCAACGGGTGGGTTTTTATCGCACTGTGGATGGAACTCGACGCTGGAGAGCGTGACGCACGGCGTGCCCATGATTGCTTGGCCATTGTTCGCTGAACAGTCAATGAATGCTGTGATGTTAGTTGAGGGAGTGAAAATTGCTATTAGGCCGAATAAAGGGGAGGATGAGTTGATTCATAGGGAGGAGATTGCGAGGGTGGTGAAGGAGTTGATGGAAGGGGAGGAGGGGAAGGGTTTAAGGAATAGGGTGAAGGAATTGAAGGTGGAGGTGGCGGTGGCTTTGGTAGAAGGAGGGTCATCTTATAAGGCGCTTGATGAAGTGGCCAATAGGTGGAAAAGCCGTTCAGCGTAGATATGCTTTGTTCTTAAATCTGCTTTTCTATTCAAGTTTTGGTGGGAGGGAGATGATGCTGAGGATGTGTGCAGATCGATCTTTCTTAAAAATCATAATTTATGTTCATCTGTTGCTTGCTCTGTTTTGATTGTCTATTAAATTGAAATTGTATGAAAGATGAAGAACTGTGATATATCCGGAGCCGCTCCGGTTAAGAACATAAACGCTCTTCTTGTGAGGGGCGGTGGCTCTTGGCCGGAAAATTGTTGGGGGTAATGCTCGCAGCTGACATCTGAGTTTTTTATTTTTTTTATTGGAATTGGTGCAACTTCTTTAGTCAACCATAGCTCTTGCATGTAGCACGTGGTTGTTGGGGCCAGCCGTTCGTCACTAATGGTGGAAGTAGGTTTTAAGTTTCCTCGACCTGTGGGCCGCTCCTCTTTCTTTAGTCGAGAAAAACAAGATACTTACGCTCAGTGATTGGTACGTTGGTAATTACAAAGGTTGTCGGTCAGATGAGCTCTGGAATTAAAATAATTTATGGCGGAAAGATTTTTCTTTTTTTATTTTTTTTGAGATTTTTAGATATGAAATATCAAATCTCGAAAATTATACATATGAAACCCGAAATTTAATATTGCCAGGAAGGAATTGTAAATTTCTCATTTTCCTGAAATGGAACTTGGCCTCCTCTTAACGTTTGCCTCCGTCAGCGGGGGAGGAAATTCTCAGCGATTTTAGAAACAGTTGGGAAGGCAATGATTTGATCCGGTTCTTTTAAACTCTCATCTTTCTCCTCCGCTATGCTCGGGCTAGACCTCTGAAACTCTCATCTTTCTCCTCACCCGCTCTGCCGACCTTGTTGGAAACGCAATGATTATGGCGGTTTATGCAGACAGGATCGCGGCCTAGCTTCTGTGCGACCATCCTCTTCCTTTTTGCTTCATCCTCTCGTCACCGAAACCAGCACGATGTAGTCGCGACTGTCTGATTAGCGCAGCTGTTGATTATTTATAATCTGCTGATAAGCGGATTATTTTGATAATTTGATAATCTGCAAATTATCAGAATAATTCAGCTTGCTGTTTGGGCAGCTTATTCAGATTAGCTTATTGGTGGTTAAATGACATTCCTGCCAGTCTTATAAAACTGTTTATGACAGCTTATTCAGAATAGTTTATTAGTTGTACGGAAGCATATAATGCAGAATCATACAATCATCACAGATCAATTCAAAAGATGACAATTCGCACACTCTCGTGAGTATAAAAAAAAATAAAAAAAAGATAAAGATAAGTACAACTACAATGAGAAATATTAAAATATTTAATTTCAAACTCTAGGGTTGTCTGTCATCAGCTGCATTATGCATCTGGGAAAACATCAGATTCTCATGACTGCTGGCAGTGTAATATGTGGAACTGTCTTCCAAAGCTATTAGACTGACGTGACGTGAGAAACAGAGACGGTATTCCACAATAACACAAAATACCTCTGTCTGTAACTGATATCTTAGAAGTCATGTTTATATTACAGAGAACAAAAAAGAATGTCAGAACTTATCCAAAAAAAAAATAAATTACACATAAAAATTGATCTACATATATATGAAGGAAAGAAAGACTTGTTGTATTAGCTATCATATATAACATCGGTTATATACTCCCTAAGAGCAGCCATCTCGGTTGCACCCACACCGTCCTGAGTTTCATATTCAGTAGACTCGATCTCATTATCAGCTAAAGATCCTGCTGATTATAGGGAGCCGATAATTGGATCATCATCAGCAATATTGAAGTCCGTATCTAAATGAGAGAGATGTCGTCGGATGAAGTTGTGAAGTGTCATAGTGGCCACCACAATATGCACCTGTTTGGGAAATGAATACGAGGGCATATCACAGGGCATATCACGTACATATCACATAGGATAACACATTTCTTCTTCCACACTCCAAATGTTCTTTCAATAACCTCTCGTAAAGAAGAGTGTCATTTGTTAAACATTTCTTTTTTGTCACGAATCATGTCACTTGCTCGCTCAAAATCAAGAATATGGTATCTGATATCTGGATAGGGCTTCAGGTAGCCCCTTAGCATCCGATACCCAGCATCTACCAAATAATACTTCCCTGTTATGAAAAATAATATTAATTAAAAATAATAAATGTAATTAACAAGATGTTTAATTAAGATGAACAAACCTGGAAGTGGGTGAGGGAAACACTGTGTTCTATTCCTAGTTGCATAGGAAAAAAAGACGACTGTCATGTGCACTTCCTTCCCACCCTGCCATTACAAATGTGAAGCACATGTTGAAGTCATACACTGTCATCGCATTTTGGGTAGTTTTACCACTCCAACCAATATACGTGATCTTTTCATGACTTGGTAGCCGGACATCTACATGCGTACCATCGATTGCTCCAATGCAATTCTGTAACTCATAGTTAGCAATTCATGAGGTATTGAAGTAAAAGTAACAAACTAATCCAACTTACTTTGAAATACGACATGTAAAGGGGATCATTTGCAATTTGTTCAAAAATAGTTGCGAACGATGGATCTGATAACTTAATGTTTTGTGTTGCTAAGCTCACAAGTATTTGTATACCTTTGTAGAAGTATCGACTAATTGTTTCCGTGGAAGGCTGAACTAGCTCCTCTAACTCTAGGGAACAAAGGAAAGTAAGTATTCTCTAAATGTGTAATAAGAACTTCTTTATCCTTTGCAATTTCAAAAAAAGAACATATTATAAATAAACATCGACATCCAACATCATTTCCACAACATTTCAATTAAAAAAAAAGTGAACAAGAGATTTATGTTGTTCGGCCAATGGCCTCCGTCCACAGAAAGCAATCCACGAAAGTTTTATTAAGGAAATCTGTAAGATTACATAGGTACAAATTCCCCCAGCCTATAAAAAAAACTGAAGGCCAATGGCCTCCGTCCACAGAAAGCAATCCACGAAAGTTTTATTAAGGAAATCTGTAAGATTACATAGGTACGAATTCGACCAGCCTATAAAAAAAACTGAATGCATTTACAATGCATTTTCTTTGCTTGCAAGTTACATTCGAGAAATATTCTTTGACAACAATATACATACATAATTTGTATCATAAAATCATATCCATGTTGGCTAAAAACCGAATGCCAGTTTTTCTCTTCCGTTCCCATATTTTGATAGCTTGAAAATTGTGAGAAATGCTTCATATAAAAGTTGTAAGCCATATAAATATCATTCTTGCATCTAATATTAAAAACAAAACCCCGTATTATATGCATATGAATCCTAAACCAAAAGTAGTTAATTTGAATCTCTGTATATGTACTTAACTCCCCAATGCTATAACCATTACCTCATATAAAAACAAAGCCTCCTTATATATAAAAACAAATCCTCCTCATATATTAAAGATGAAAATATCTAAGGAAAGAACATTGCCTCATATAAAAACAAAGCCTCCTTATATGTACTTAACTCCCCAATGCTATAATCATTGTCATTTTTAACATAAAATGAAAGATAAAAGTATGGAATCCTCTCAATGACGAGGTAGATATAGGTTTGAAACATTAAAATTACATGCCAGTATGCTTTCATAGAAGAATAAATAATTTCGTGATGATTTGAGATGCATTTTCATGAACCAAGCCATAATCTTCAATGTATAACCAAATCAACATTGGGTTATTTGAAATTCCTGCATAACAGAAATTCCTGCAAATTCATGCAAATTCTTCATCACAAAAATTGCAGCTAAACAATAATACATTGACCAATTTGCTTAAAATCAAAGCCAATACCTCTCATCAAACAAACAGAGCCAAAACCAGAGAAAATGCTAAAAACCAGAGGATATCGAAAACAAATCATGACACATATCTCAATTGGGCTATAGCTAAAAACCCTTAATGGACTCATATTTCATACACAAAAAAAAATTCATTTATTGTATCTACACTTCCCAAAAAAAAGATTAGAGAAAAGGAAGCTTTCCAAGGATCGCAACTAGCAACCCAAATCCAAAAACCAGATAAAATGCTAAAATATCAGGGTATAGAAAATGAAACATATCTCAACTGGCCTAAACCAAAAACCAGAGAAAATGCCAAAAATCAGAGGATGCCGAAAACAACTCATGTCATAGATCTCAACTGGGCTATAGCTAAAAACCCGTAATGTACTCATATTTCACCCGAAAAAAAATTTCATTTCTTGCATCTACACTTCCCAGAAAGAAGATCAGAGTAGGGAAATCGAAAGGAAGCTTTCTAAGGATTATAGCTAGGGAAATCAAAAGAATATCTGATGATCAGGAAAGAAAATTGGAATGAAATAAGATTTGATCTCCTCTAGAGCGACGAACCAGAAAGGATTCCAGCGAGGGAGAAGGCGAGTGAGATCAAGGGCACCTCCAGAATTCCTGGGGCAACGCGGATCGCTAACGCCGGATGAGGGGCTCGCACTACTTCGAACGATATAAAGGATTTATGAACGCGGAAGCAGTGCGGGAGAAATAAGCCCGTGCGAACGTATTTATCAAACAGGGAGGCGACGTTTTCAAGACGTCGCCGCTCCCAATAAGCTGCCCCAAACGGGCCCTAATGCTAACTGGGAGAGAACGACGGGAAATCGACATAAAAATATGTCTGAAACATCCTTCTTTAAGATAGTAGCCCTCATAATTCTTGTACATCCAGGAATTAAAGAAAAACAGAGAAGAAATTCGATTTGGTGTTTTAAGTATGAGGCCATTAGCTATTCAGAAAACTACAATATCAAATCATTCAAAAACAAACAAATAACTGAGAATTTATAGCTTCTCAAAATTCATAGCTCAATTATTTATAAGTATAAAACTCTGACTCACAAAGCAAAGATTAGCAAAAGTACGACAGTAATTGAGGGCTTCGGTGACGAGAGGGGGAAGAGGAAGGGGAAGGGATAGGGAAGGGTGGGGAGGGTGGAGGAATGGTGGGTGGTTGGTTATCTGCTCGTGTGTGGAGCAACATCTGGGTACATAATGTGATTTTTCTGTCGGGATGAACATCTCCAAGAAATGTTGGTGGAAATACATGCACTCCAGCTACTTGTGGAAATGCCAAGTCCAAACCCCTTAGCTGTAACCTTGGTAGACTATGTAGCCGATAAACTTCTATGTAGTTATATGACTGATTTCATCTGATCTTTAGTTTAATTGGGAGACAA